GTAGCAAAGGTCTCCTCCATCTCTTCTTATATATTCCTCTCTACACAGAACCAAAGTGAAGTCTGCAGCCCGACTTGTTGCCATGAAACATTCCTGTTCAATCTGGAATTGTCCTGACTGTGGAGAGGGAGGTAGAAATATTATGACATGTCTGCGCTCCAAATGGATTATGTTTCAATATCAGTCAGGACGTGGCGGCAGAGGGGGGGGGGGGGCGGTGTTGGATGCAGATGCTTTTAAATTGCTGCCTTTGTTTTCCATCAGGCATGAAGCATCCCCTTCCCTTATCTCCCAGACACCGTGCTGATGTTCTGGGTAAATGAACTGTCGGAGTATCCCTCACCCTCCTTCTTGTTTTCACTTCCTGCCTCAAGGTTGAGATGTTGGTACACCCGAGCCGCTCAGGCGTCTCCCACTTTGCACACCCTGATGCCTCTGGGGGGGGCAATTACCAATCCTCACATGCAATCGGGGTCGGCCATGCATATGATCCCCTTTTGCTTTCACTCTTGTTCCTGTTTTTATTTTTTCTGCATTATTAGCAATGACACACTGTGAGGAATTTGCAGGTAGAGCCGAGTTAATAGGCCGGTTTTTACAGAGACACCTGTCCAGCTGATTGTCCGTTTCACTCTCCTGCAGCTCACTCTCTCAATGCATGTCTTTCGCCTGTGAGGTCTCTGTTTACAGCACTCTGCTTAGTGTTCCTGGGGGGGGGGGCAACTTCTCCCAAAAGTCTCAAGAAAACACAGGGAGACTGTTACAGATGCTTTCCACCTATTCCACTTTATATTGAATACATTCATCAAAGAACTCTACCCAAGTATACTTGTGTTTAATTTGAGTATTTCTATTTTCTACTAATTTATACTTCTACTCCACTGCAGTTTTCTTAAACCTCCCAATTCAGATTTTTTTTTAATGAGTTCATTCATTTTCAATATGTTATGCAATTTAGTGATATCATTGGGAAAGTGTGGACAATGTTCCAAGACTTACACTGTTGGAATCATTTAGTCTTCAGACACATTCCTCTCTCAATTGGTGGTTTAATTTACACCACGATATATTTTGGAAGAGATTCATCAATAACGTTTTAAAAAGATACACTTTATCTATCAAGAATAATTGTCAAAAATCATTCCATGAGAAGCGCTAAAAAAGAATGTATTCCAACTTTATGGGCAACATCATACTAAGTGATATGGGTTTAATTAGACTTTATAACGAGGACATTTCAGGACGCTATGGGACCTGTATAATAAAGTGTTACAAAAATTGCAAAAACTCAACTAATTACAAAAGTAAAATATCACTTGTATGCATTAGCTTGAAATAGTGTATTATTACAGTGTGGTATTTGATAAGAATACTTATTCACTCTACATTTCTATACAGTTGAAGAGAAACTGAAACCATGGATTTTCCTTTTGTCTAAGGTTCACGTCAGGCGTGCACTTCCTGAATGAGTTTCTTCTGAATGCAGTGATAGTCAACATCACAAGGACATCACAGCAGCAGTTTGAACTCCATCACATTTGTGTCTTTACAGTAAATACTGTCAATGGTTTCATTGTGTATTTAACATCGTAAGGCCGGAGCAGTTTCAATAGCTCTATGCTTTGGGCTCGCAAAGAAGAGTATAGCCCTTTTTGTGTTGACCTTGAAGATCATTATGTTCTATAATATGTATTACATTATGACTTTAGGTCATTTGAAGATAAAGATGTATTTATCTACTTGCACTCCGCCATAAATCCTGATTTTACCATTATTTCATTTTGTGTTTAATCTTAGCCATCTATATACATGGATGGCAGTTTAAATCATATTTTATACCACACATTTACTTTGAAATGAAATGATTGTAAGTATGAGGGGAGCAGGAGGTCAGTAAATGGATATTAAGGAACAAATAAATAGCAGAACACACAACAATAAATGGTTTATCATCAACCCAGAATCAGTTTGATACAATCCCTTAATATCTAGAGTTTTTCATCATGATTTATATCATTATTTCCATTTATCATCTGTTCATTGTAATGCTGTTTAAGGCCACATTCTTTAACTTGCAAGTTGGATGCCAGGACAAATATTGACCGTTTTTTTTCTAAAGAAATATGTTTTGATGCATCCTCTTAATCAATTCAAATGAAAGTCCTTTCATTTCAGTTCATATTATGAATTGTTAGTACTTATTCCCAAACAGATTCATGGTCAATTGAATTAAAGCAACACATAAGACAGTATCTTCATGTTTTAGGTCTTACGTGTGTCGGCTTAAAAATACATTAAGAATAGAAAAGGACATTAAAACCTTTCTGTCTTTTATGCTGTTTGAAGGCCAGCCTGAAATCTGTTCTCACTTTTCTAAACTTTTGTAGTTGCTCTGCTTTTGTTTAGCAGCCAGGTGGACATTTAATTGTAAAGGGTCACAAAATACAAAGGTCAGGGATCAGTATTTTGCGTGTAAGTGAATCTGCTGTGGCAAAAACATTCATAGTATTTCAAGTTTCCTGCAAAACACCACAGATTTTAAATTACCACAAATTACACTTAGGGGTCCATCCTCCCGAAATCTCTCCATGGTTACGGCCCTGCCAATGTATAATAGTGTGCTCCTTCATTTAAAACATGACAAAAAAGCAGCATCACATGCACATTTGTGCCTGAAACAGATGAGAATGAGTTCAAACTGAAATTGTTTCCCCTCCTGTCAGGTAGTTTGTAAGCAGCGCATGGAAAAACCCTTTGGCAAACTCTCCTGCTCATGGGTCATCGCAGCGCTAAGAGCTGGAGGAAAATAACCGGGCCTGCCCTCCATCATCCTCTCATCCTGCTGACCTCTTTACGTATGCTATAGTATACTTACAGAGAGAAGAGGAAGAGGGGGGTGAAAAGAGAATGATTGCATATCTGAAGGCGTGGAGAGAGCAGATATGGATGGGAGAGGAGGACATGGTCGGACACATCTTTGCTTTCTTATTAGTGAAGGTCTGCGCGGACACTTTGGGCCCTTTTTATGGGGGGGGGGGGGGGCATGATGAAACCCTCTGTGGAAAATAGCCAGGGGAAATCACAGATGAGAATCACTCAAAGACAGGGAGATGTCAACAGGCACATAATGATAGCTGATGGCCCCACAACACTCTCTCCCTCTCAGCCTGATACCTGCCCAGGTTGCACTGTAACCGCAAAACATAGTTAGAGAGACGGAAGCTTTATCTCTGTGTAAGCAATGCTCTTTGTTTTAGACATCAGGGAGTCTCCTTTTTTTCTCCTTCTCGATCTCTCTTTCACTTCATGGAGAGAGAAGGAGGAGGAGGGGGGGGGGGGGCTCCCTCTGTGAGATGCCAAGGTGCTCCCAGTCCATTGTGCTGCTGGCTGTCAGGTTAAATTAGGGAGTACAGGCTCCGTGAGTGTAACAAAATCAATACTTGATGGAAGATTGCTCCCCGGAAAATCTGTTTTGATTCCAGGATTAATTCTTGACCGAAAGGCTCCAGCAAAATAACATGCCATTAGCTGGAAAATGAACACATTCTGCAGTGGAAATTGGATGGAAATGTGTCAGGTGATTGCCCCGGTTTGTTGTTTTGACTCTTTGAGCGAAAGGTGTGGTTGCAGAGAATGAGGCCTCCATTTCCAGAACAGCTCCACCTCGGAGAATTCTCGAGGCCTTTGTTGACCGGCGGCTGCAAAATGCCTTCCACATGTGACCGCTCTCTCCTGTGTTTTCCATAAAGCATAACAAATTAGATGATCTAGAAATAAAAACATCCCTGTACTCAACTGTGAGGGGGGAAAGGGAGGTGAGATGCATTATTGATGGATGGATAATGTGTTTGTCATGACCGATGACATTTTCTTGTTGAAAACTTAAACAGGAAGCTTCAGATGCACTGGACAGTGATTTGAGCACCTAGAGATTTCAGGCTGCACTAAGTGTTTCATAGAAGAAGAAAAAAACAACAACAACAGCAGACATGATTTCTGACACTCTGAAGACATGTTTCCAACCAAAACATAAAAGATGCATTTATTTTTTCCAGCAATATTAAATAGGATGATGTTGTTTTGTATCACTATGATTATATAGATGCCTATGCATCACGCTTCTTATGTGGAATTTATGAAAAAAAAAGTGAGATATCTTCATTATTAGATGTCATTAGTATGCCTAATGTTGTTTGTAGTGTTTTGGTTTATTCCAAAAAATTACTTAAGCAAATGTATGTTATTAATATGACTATACACTATTTTCAGGAATAACTTTTTAAGATATATTTTTTAATAATCTATCGTAAGACAATGCATTTTTTAAATCAGAAATTCAGACAATTTAGGAGAGTTATCAGAAATCAAATAGGGTCCTATAATTTATCCAAAATACATGAAACATCTAAAATATTCAGCAATGATACATTTTACATGTTTTAACTTAACCTTCTTTTAACTTTTCCTGGAATTTTGACTCTAGTGAACTATAAAAACTCTGAAACAGAAATAAACGACAGGAGGAGACAAAATATTGGAGGTGACAAAAGTATAACGTAAAAATAGGACATATGTGTAGGTTTAAAATCGTTCGCCCGTTATCTGCACACGGTTGATATACAGGAGGGTGATAGATGGTTATTATCAGTCATTCTAGGTATGTGTAGACCACACTCTACTTTACAGCGAGACACTAGCGCCCCCTGCGGGACATAAACAGTAACATTATCTGATTTAGGCAAACACCACAGAAGGAGTGTGTTTTAACACCCTAAAAGAGTATTTATAAACACGTCAAAAATTATAATAATAATAATAACAAAGAGAGAAAATAACAATAAAACTAATTAAAAAACAATTAGACGTGTTTCATTTTTATAAGCTGCAACCAGTAAAGTAAACCATCAAATTCCGTTTTAGGGTAGATTTCTTTTTTCAGGCGCATGTTGATGACGTACTTGAGGATAGCTGGTGCTTTCTCAGGAAGTACATGTGAAAAAGTGTCAACACAGGCTTGGCATGGTAGTGTTTTCGGGATACGAATGAAATAATAACCGTTTATTTTAAAACATACAGTCTATTTAGAAACGTTTTTAATACTCCCATGATGTCTTGGGTTAGAGCTGTTTCGACCAGCGGAGATGTGTTTGATGAGAATGCGGACGAACTTAGTTTGCAAAGTAAAGAGTGGGCATCCAACATGAAGAAGCGAGTTAAGGTAAAGCTAATGTAGCGTTAGCCTACCTCGATAAATACCTTAACATGTGTATTTTAGGAAAATGCTGAACATTGTGTGACATTCAGTGGTAACTTGCTATATCAAGTTTGTATTCCGGTTATTAAGTGTTTGTAACAGAGGTTTAAAGGTGAGTTAAGCGTGTTAATGTGAGACTTTCCCTCCCGACTGATGTGATGGACAGGGCGGGTATGTGGACGGAGTGGATGCCGGGGAGGATGCCTCGCTTCAGGCCGGCTTTGACCTCGGATTCCGGGAAGGAGCAGCTCAGACTGTGGCTGTGGGCCGGCTCAAAGGAATTGTAAGGTAAACCATCATTTAATTTATACTTATTGTGATATATTATCAGATTAAGATTGGGTTAGAACAGTACAAACGTTACATGTGGAGTGCCAATATCAGTTATAAAACCCTTTTGTTGTGGACATTGAGAATCATTCTCAAAGGGCCTTTAAATAAAACAATCCAATTGTTGGTAAATCTGTTAATAATGTATGATTATTTTAAGGCCATAATCTGTGATAAGAGATTATATAAATACACTTTGATTTATTTTGAAAGGTTCTCAATCCCAAACCAAACATGATGAGAACAACTGGTTTAAGTGATATTCATGGTATTATACCTATCATTTTTCACTATAACTTATTTAACTTGCTGACACCCAGTGGTGACTGTAAATATTAATTCTGGTTGAAAAGTATCTACAAATATTTTATTGCCATATCCTTTGATTCCAATCGGAGTGAATACATGTTTTACATGGGCTGTTTATATTTCTGTCAGGCAAGTGGTTAAGCGTTATTTTAGACGTGCCGTTTAACTGCCGATACTATACCTTAGTTTATTTTTTTATTTTTCTGTACTTTTTCCTCCCCCTACTTTGGGAAATACAAACATGTTTTGCACAGAAACATCATGAGCCTCTTTTGTTCTGGTCAGTATTGAAGACTGTTATTTCCAGTAGTTGCCTGTCCCAGTCTCTTCTCTGTACCATTGTATCCCACACTGTTGCCTCTTTGTGTTCCCGTCACAGTGCTATATGGTGCTGGTGCCAGACCCAACATCCGGAAAGCCCCCTGCCGGCCTCTGTAACCCACCTCCTGCAGCAGGTTTCCCAGCATGAAGACACCATTATGGAGGGCATTAAGAACACTTTGGAGAATCCTCCTCCCAGTGTGAGCGCCGTCTCTGAGAGCATGGAGGACCTGGAGGTGGAGCAGGCAGATCCAAGTTGTGGAGGAGAGGGATGTAAAGAAACAGACTGCTGTAGGACAGCAGACAAAATGGATCAGGATGTTCCTCAGCAGCCACAAAGGCTCTGTTCAGGGTCTACTGACTGCTCCTCCCGCTCCAGTGATACCCTTAAGTACCTCCTGCAGCGCTGCATGGATCTAGTGTCAGAGCTGGGACTGCCTGAGGACCTGGTCAGCCACATACAGGAGCTGAACAACGTGTAGGGTGTGAAAATCGGACAGTACTTGGATGAGCACATGAACTTTGAAGTAAATTGGATTTTTGTGTAATCTTACACATTCGCAATTAAGTGCTTTCGATGTATATAATGTAAAATAAAAATATTGCATTCCTAATTTGTATAACATGGCTAGAATGGAAATAAAAATACATTTTCTGTATTTTACTGCAGTTTTGTTCTCATTACCGAATGGGTTGCCCACCTTAATGAAAAAACAACAACATCCATATTATCTCTTTAATATTGACTATTTATATTTTTTTTGTAATGGCTAATGGCCACCAATTTGTTTTAATATCTAGGTAATGTTTTGGCCTTTTAAAAACTATTTTAAACTCTTATCACCCAAAGCATTGTCAAACAAAACCACAAGGTACCAAATAAATATATATTTAAACCACACCATTTACACTTTGTACAGCTGTAACTATTTAAAGCATAAATGCATCTGTTATGTACTCTTTAATTATATTTTTATGTATCAATTAATTATTAATTCTATGTAAAAAAAAAAAGTGAAATTCATGATGCCTCAAATTGTATGAAAACTTTCCAAAACACAAAGATATTCTTTTAAAAAGCCATATAAAAGAGCAGCTCACAAGCTAGAAACAGTGCATCTTGGTTCGTTTTGCATTATTTAATTGTATTCAATTTAAGTCTACCCAATCAATCCAGTAATTGTTATGATGTGTACCAGGGTTGGAGTGAAGCTTGAGAGTCTCCGAGGAGCACTTGAACGCACCAAAACCCTTGGCGCACATGAGAATGACGTCATCGCTCGGACCGAGCCGTGACCTGCTGCTCTGGCTATGCTAGGGGTCCGTACAACAGATGTTCCGCCAACAGTAGAGTAAATAGCCGTTATTTTTGAAATGTAACGTATCACATTACAATGCTTTTGTCCTCATTGCGGTGATACTCGGGAGAGGCGTTCGGTATTTTGTAGCGCATGTTTATAATTTAAGTTTCCCCCAGCTAGCTGACTAGCTAACTTAAGCTTGTTTTCCAGCTAACCAAAAGTGAAAGAGAAATCGGAGCTGCATGGTTGCAGGATTGCGCAGTTTGTCTCGAAATAAACTCTGAGGTATGGTTTAACGTCATTATTAACATGGGAGTGATAGTTGAATGTTCTGTGTGAAATGTGCTGTCATTTATCGATACTTCCTTGCATGTGTTGACATTAACAACACGATGTAGCTTTGCTTTGAGCTCATTTTACACTGACATGTATACTGTGTGAAACATAGTAGCAGGTGTTTCAGCCACTTCAAAAACAGATTGTCTTTTTAAAATATTGAACATTTACTGTTTTGCGATTGGTGCTACCACAAACAGTGCCCTCTTAGTTTTAAGATAGGGTCAGACATTTTGATAGATGTTAACCAATCAAATATGACAACATGATATACAGAAAGACTAACCCCGGGCATCTCCATTGTTGGTAACATCTATCCTAATGTAGTATGTGATTTAAAATGCAGGTGACGCATCTAATTGGTCACATAATATAGTGTAACACCTGCTATATCACACATGGAGGAGTGCTTTGACTAATTTATTCAGTGATGTTGCACATTTTGCTTTTAGGTATCATCACTATAACAAGACTACATATGGTTGCTCCTGGCTTTAGCAGCAGCTGGACCCCCCCCCATCATGGCCTCCTGAGATCCCCAGGCTTCAGCGACTCCTCAGGTCGCTTGGGGTTGTTTTGGACCCAAGGTCAGTGTCCAGACTACGACCTGTCTGACCTCCCAACAGAGGGAGCGAGCAGATGGGGAACTGTTGCTGTCGCACTGAGAGTCCCTGTGGCAGCGCGGAGGAAACGAGCGGGTTACTAAAGGATGACTCCAAGGCCACAGCGCCCGCAGGAGAAACACTTGTGGGGGGGTCCTGTGGTCCTGAAGGAGATGACAACATCAAGTGAGTCTTTCAGTCTCATTTTTGACCTCAGCACCACTTATGTCTCAATTTGATTGGGTGACTACGTGTCTATGGCAAAAATCCAAATTCCAGTAAGACACCTGACTTTTTTGAAAACATTTACACATTGTTGGAGCTAAGCCTTTTCAGACTAATATCATAGTACATTTGAAAACCTACTCCGTAAAAGAAGTATCGAACACAGACATTTTTGGGCTGTATTTTAAACGTTGGTTTGACACATTTGACATCATGAAATTGCCTTTGACCTGCCACTTTAAAAAAAGAACCGTTTGGTTTTCCCCCCAAGGTTTGCGTAGGGTGTTTTAATGTAACCAAATCACACGGGGAATGAGAAGTGATGGTGTAGGAGGGTTAGGGGACTTCCTAAGGTCTTAAAATGTTAGTCATTTCTCCCTTAAAGTGAAAAAGTACTGTTTTGATTATAGATTTTCCACCTAACTACATAACGGGTTGAATTTTGAAACATTGGCTGCACAATCTCATCAGTTTTTCCTGTTCAGCATGTTTTTGTCCTATGATGTGACATTGCTTCTCCTCTCTGTGTTATGTCACTCAGGACAATGCTTGATGAGGAAACGATAAGGCCGAAAGAGGCTTTGAAAGTGAAGAAGAGTGCTGTCGTTGTGGAGAAAGAGTCCAATAACACTCAGGAGAATGGAGCCTTTCAGAAAGAGGTCATACAGAAAGCATCACCCTCTCCAAGAAAAGGCTCTGAACTAAAAGAGAACTCCACCGCAGTGAAAGATGAAGTTATAAAGGACAGTCCTGCAGACGGTGGACAGGCTGAACCCATGCAATGCACTTTATTCTCTCCGCAGAGAGAACATGCCACAGCAACAAATGTGGCACCAGAAGAAGAAAATCCAGCCTCAGCGCATGACAAAATCCCTGACAGCAGCTCACTAATAACTGAGGCGGTCTGCCCTGAGGATCACACTGAGACAAACACAACAGAGCACATCACATCAGACACTACTCAAGATAATGAAGAAGAAGCAGGCTCCACAGTCACTACTGAAAGCAGTGCTGTAGCAGAGCCATCGGAGGAGCTCTCTCTAAACAATGAGGGTCTGTCTGAGCCAAACCCTCCGCCCACTGCAGCGGCCGGGCAGATGGCGTCCGTCTCTGCGGTCAGACAGGAGGGTGACAAACAGTCTGCGAGCTGGTGAGTCACACGCAGAGACAAACTGGAGTTTTGGTTTCTGCTGCTGCTTGGAATGTGGTTTAAAAAAAGATCAGGAGGGTCAATCCAAAATTCTTCCTTAAGGAATGAGAGATACATTGTTATTTATGGTAAACTTCTGTCATTTAGTTTGCATTTTCACATTTTATCATGTTTTAATGGTCAAAATAACTAATATACTGTAAAGGAAATTCTGGAAATAGACCAGTGGTTTGAAAAATGGCATTAAGTTAAATAAAATGTCATGTAACAAGTTGACATTGAAGGAAAATTGGTAATCACAAATGTAAACCATTCCACCAAATGTAATAATTAACAGCTTGGTTTAAATTACTTGATTTAAACCAAACTAGGCAGATTCAAATTACTTGATATATTCATGTTAAATATTTGTTTCTACTGTGCAATATATTTGTAAGCTCCTGCGCCTTTTCTCTAAACTGTACCTGAACATCACTTCTCATCCAAAATGTAATTATTTCAACCGCATGACTGTCTGAAGAGCTGCAATGCATTTTGGGGCTGCTGAGTATGTCCACTTAACTCACTTCTCATACTACTCTACAGTCACAAATCATAACATACTTACGTTTGCATCAATCTATACAGAGATGTTACAAAACAAATATTCTGTGATGCCAGATTTTATGCAAATCCTGGGAGGGGAATGGAATTTATGACATTTGCTCAATTAAAAAAAAAAAAAAAATTAAAAAAAAGGCCGGAGTAAAAAGTGTGCAAGTGAAATTTTGTTTGTGAAATATGTAAATAAACATAGGAAGGTAGGTCAAAATTACTTATACAAACGCAACTTAAAATATAATAACAGCATGTATACAAACCTAAGAAGTAAAAGTGTGCATTGTACAATATATAACAAAGAGGAATATGTAAAAATGTCTATATTACAATAAATTCAGTGGTGTATTAGTAGGTATAAAGATATGAATTCTGAACGGCACCATTAAGAGGATTTCATCTGCTGATGGTGAAATAAGTCCAGTGGTGTTCGCTGGTGTGCATTGGCAGAATGGACCCCTGCTTCATAGTTACTAATATCTGTCTGCTGCCATCTTGTCTCTAGCGCCCTGCCCGAGGGTCCAGAGAACAGCAGCTCTTCAGTGTGCGAGGAGGCGGGACCTGAAGACACAAACAGCCCTGCGTCCTGTGAGTCCTCTCCTGGATCAGAGCCCTCAGAACTGGACCAAAGTGAGGAGGAGCAGGAGGCCTCCAGCTGTGTCAGGGAGCCAGAGACCACAGAGACCACAGAGACCACAGAGACCATAGAGACCACAGCGCCAGCAGACGCCATAGACAGGTCAGCAGGTCCAGAGTTGTGAAAACAAAACAAGATACTTGTTTACACTAACTGTTTACTTTCGTTTTTGAGCCACACTGTCACCACAAGGGGGCATTTAAACACCACAGCATGCAAACGTATTGTCTATTGCACACCTTGTTCTTTCTTATTATGGGTTTTGTATTTGTACAACTAAATATATATTTTATGGTATAAAGTGTGAGTGGTGCATTTAATAATTTCATAATATGAGTTTGAGATGGACTCAAATATGTATATATGTTCATTTAATTCATTTCTTATTTTAACAGTTACTTACCTGTATATAATTATATTTGTAATTGTATCTTTACTGTCCTGTTTTTCAATCTCACGCTGTTGCTGCTTAAACTCCTGAATTTCCCCAAAGGGGTTAATAAAGGTCTATCTTATCTTAAATAAAACAGTTTTAACTTTTTTTGATTAAGAAATAAAAGTACTGAAGATGTCTTCTCTTCCCAGCTTAAATTCCGATCAGGATGCACAGGCAGACCCTGAATGCTCAAAGGAGGTCCCTTCCTTGGAGAACTTTGAACAGGATATTGAGGCGGAAACGTTGCTGAAAGGACAGGATGAAAATGGAGATGTTCCCAGAGTGGAGGAGGAAGAAGATAAGATGAAGGTGGAAGATGCTCTGACAGAGGCTGAGATTCAGGCTGAGATTCAGGCTGAGACTCAGGCTGAGACAGAGGCTGAGACAGAGGCTGAGACTCAGGCTGAGACTCAGGCTGAGACAGAGGCTGAGACTCAGGCTGAGACTCAGGCTGAGACTCAGGCTGAGACTCAGGCTGAGACTCAGGCTGAGACTCAGGCTGAGGAAGATGCTGAGATCCAGGAGGGTGACAGGAGAAGAGAAACAGCTGGCAGAGAGCACAGCTGATGTGAAGGCTGAGGACGAGACCCCTGTCCCAGAGAAGGGGGACTCTGCTGGAGACAGCCTGGAGAACAGGTTTGGAATTACCTTTTCTTTACGTGCGTCAAAGAGTCAACATCCTGTCATGTGTTCGGCTATTTGAACTGTTGAAAGATTGAGTCAGAGTATCACTAATTCCATCATTCTAAAACGAGATGTTGAAGTAGGACACAAAACAGGAAGGGACTGTTGAAAACTGTGGAAATGTAGACTCAGTACCACATGTTTCATTTTTAGCTTTAAAAATGTCTGACACATCCTCCCAGAAGAAGTGGACGTGTGATATGTTGTCTTTTCTGTATGAGCATACCTGAACGGTAACGGTTCTTATGTTATCACTATAGTGCTTAGAAAAGGTCACTCAGGAGCAAAGAGTGAGTTTGTTTGGGGCTATTTTCAGCTTTGGGCTTACACCAATTTGGTGCACTAGTATTCAAAGCAGCAGGATGGTGTGTGTGGGATTAACTCAAAATAAACTACACTGAAATGAAGGAACATGTCACCCAGTGTGTTTGATGGCTTTGGAATACAATATGGCACAAAAGATTAAGATATCAGACTTTCTTTTTTAAACATATTGGTTTATGTCTTTTCAAATAGATCATGGCCTCTCTTATGCATGACTTAAACAGCTCAGTCTCCTAAATGTGTGTTTTCCCTTTTTTAGTGAAGAAGACCTGTACAGAGGAGCCGAGGAGCTGTCAGAATTACAGAAAGAGAAACCAGAAAGTACAAGTCAGTATATCCAAATCACACTTCTATCACCTGACATTGGTTTTGTCTCTTTAAAAATATAAACTATACCAATGATTTTCTCTCCCTCTCTTCATCCCTCAGTTTTGAAGGTGGAGGACAGATGCAGTTTGGCACCAGCAGTGGATATTCTGTCGTACAGTGAGAGGGAGTGGAAAGGAAACACTGCCAAAAGCGCTCTCATTAGAAAGGTCGGTGCCTGAGTGTTTCACATTAAGGCCAGTTGTTGTTGTTGTTTATTCACATGAATGTCTAAGAGACTTCCTGTGGGGTCCCGGGTGCGGCTGCAGGGTTATAAGGAGATGTCCCAGAGGTTCATCAGCGTGAGGAGAGTGAGGGGAGACAACTACTGCGCCCTCAGAGCCACCCTGTTCCAGGTGCTGTCCCACAGCACCCAGCTGCCCCAGTGGCTGCAGGAGGACGCTCACATGGTAAACACACACTCGTAAACATCAGTTGGTGAAGCCGTTTCGTTAGCGTTGTTTGCATGTTAGCCAGTTAAGCCCCATGCCCCCGGTACCAGGGGCAAAACGCAACATCTTGCAAGAAACAGCTTCTTAACATTCAACAAACTATGAATGTGTCATACCAACTTAACGGGAAGAAACTCAGCTAACTGACGATATTAACAATTTTTAGCTAAACAAAACACAAGGGTATTAGTATCATCACTGTGCGAACTCAGGGCAGCGAAGGCGAAACCAGACAACACACAACTTAGCTTTACGGAGCCAAAACGGCAAAATATGTCTTACCTTTGCTGTGTTCTGATCAAAAGTTGTGTTCAATGGCATTAAAATGATAAAAACGCTGCTGAAGGTTAATCCAATGTCTCTGTGTCACTTTGAAATGATTACTGATAATCCATCATTCCATTTTTGTCAAAAACGGAGATTTCATATTAGCTGCTATGAGAGCTACAACCCAGCTTCCGGTTTTGGGCAAACTGCGTGCGCATCACTCACTCCTCAATGGTAATGTTTAGATGGATTTTAGGAACTTCCCCTCGATTCTATTGGCTCTAACGGTTCAAAAGAGGGTGCCCATCGACCGAGGGGGGCCAGAGATATGGAAAATGCTAAATCTCTCTAAAAAGGTCAAATGTCACTTGTTTTGCATCAATCTTGATACAGGGTACTTATTATATGTTATAGTTTGGATTCCTAAAGCTTGTAGTCTACTATCCAATCATTCAAGGGTGGTTTTCATTATAAGTAATGGGTTTCTTTGGACGGACACTATAATTAAAAAAAATGTTTTACTATGTTCAATCTGAATTTACTTTAAAATAAAAAAAAATCTTTATTGATTCTGACTTTTCTACATCCAACTCACAGGTTTATCATTGCTTTGAGAAAAAATATTATTAATTTACCCCTTTTTAGAAGTGAAGTTATAGTCATTTGTTCTGGGAATGTCATTTTCGAAACCTGAAAAACAGGCTCGGGTCTGAAAAACAGTCTCGGGCTTAACTGGTTAAACTGGAACATGTCTTGGAATGGCCCGTAACAAGCACAACAGGTTGGACAGTCTACAGGGATAAAGGTTAAGATAGTCCATCAACAATAGCAACTTTCACCATAAACACATTGTGAAAGACGGTATCAGTAGAAAAACTCCCCTTTAAAATGTATCTAACATTCTGCTTATTATCGTGCTATTTGTGTTTAGTTCAATTTGTTTAAAAGAATGTTGCAAATATTGTTAATTTTACAATATTAAGCAGTCAATCAGCAGAAAGGCAGAACTGTTTATTTATTGCAAGTAAAATGAATACTCAACAGTTATTTGTGTGTTCCCTATTTTATGCAGCCAAATAACTGCTTATAGTCCAGGCTTGTCCGAAAGGTTAGACTGTTGCTGAGAGGTTTCATTAGTTGTAGCTAAGCTAATTAAGCTAGCTAACTCTGTGGTTTGAATACACTGTCGCTGATTTAATTTTGAATACATGTAGTACGTATCAGGGGCGATAGGTAATTAAAGCTAGAGAAGGCTAAGCCACCCATATATAATTGGTCACTAGACTTTTGTGCAACACTTACAAAGATTATTGGCAGATGCTACGACTTACCAATGTTCCCTAAACGTCTCATATGCATGTTACTGCTAGGATATATTGTCCCGTTCAGAAGCTCTAAATATCCGCCAGTGATATAAGCCTTAGTTTCCTAGATAACTATATATGTGTTCATCAGAGAACTCATAAGAACGTAGCACTATTAGAGCGCTACAATGTTTTGATTCTGTCAGAATGAGTAGAATGAGATTGTAGAAACAGTTCATTTCATTTCATTTCAAACCTTTATTTATCCAGGTTGTATCCCATTGAGATCATTGACATCTTTTTCAAGGGAGACCTGCAAAGCAAGTTGAGCAGCATTTACTCACAACAAACAGAGCTGGTTCAGAGACAACAAAAGCTGCGTTATTCTTATCAGCTAGTGCAGTGAGCTCAACGTATGCTGTGGGCCTCGGGCTATTTGTGTTTGCACAGTAACGGTTGGTGGCTCTGAATTACCAGCGTATTTAGCTCACAACAACATTTTGTAAATATCACCTTTGCCCCAGATGTCCAAATGTTTTCCAGCTTTATTGTGTTAGAAGACAGAGAAAAAGGGTGAATGTCCCCGGTAAAAATCATTTAAAAACAGCCTTGTTATAGTGTCAAAATATGTGAGATCAGGCTAACAATGTGTGGCTGCCAGGCTAACACACTCGTGTTTTCAGAACAGCTGAAATCTCATCTCGCCATTTTAATTACAGCTGCCGAAGCGCCTTGAGGCCCAGGAAGGTCTGATAAGCCAGTGGACATTTCCTGGAGACTGCCTGCAGGGAGATGGGATGGGAGATGCTACCCTGCAGCTAAAAGGCTACATGGAGCTTCTGAGGGATAAGGTACGGAGTGAATACTGAAAATATGCACAGAATAACCACTGCACTATTTGTATGCCATACGTGAACACTGAGGGCATTGATGTTCGTCTGCAGGGCTTTTAGATGGGATTGCTACCATATGGAACAGTCTCTTTCTAAATGCTGCTCTGCTCATTCTCTGTGTCACAATTAGGAGGCTAACTGGACCCTCCGCCTCAAAGAAACTGTTTCAACTTTTAACCGCAAACCACAGTGCCTCCCTACTGTAACCATATGAGGCCCCAAACTTCATTTATAGTCAGGAATTCTAGCTATTACTGTACACGCATGTTTCAAAAGTCAGGCTTCATGAGAGGTAACTGTGAGAGGGTCTGGATTCCATACAGTCGCTGGGAATAGACTGTGTGTTGTGTAATACTGGTCTGGGCTGGTTCCACAAATATGTATGTGCACTAATGTATATGTATAATGGAACTTTAATAGAAGAAGTATGATGAAACTATTTTTGTTGTGGTTTTTGATGTCATACTTTGTCTGAGAAAAAGGGTTTAAATAGAAACTCTGCACGGTATGTAGTAAAGCTATATTTAGCAGATATATTTGGCCATAATTAGCAGATATATTTGGCCATTTGCACTTGAGAAATGACTACAAATATGAATTATGTTTTGATTGAATGTCATCCATGTGTCCCCAGTGGCAGGCAGCCGTGGACTGCCCCTCTGCTGTGGAGCGGCAGCAGCTCTGTGAGCGGGTGTTTCAGGGTGGAGAAGAGGAGCTGGGGCTGATGGAGGCGCTGAAGCTGCTGATGCTGGGCCGGGCGGTGGAGCTGCACCGCTGCATGCAGGGCGGGGGGGACATCCCGCTCTTCTGCTGGCTGCTGTTCGCCCGCGACTCCTCCGACTGCCCCCGCTCCTTCCTCTGCAACCACCTCGGACACGTGGGCCTCAGCGCCGGGCTAGAGCAGGTAGGAAGAACCCAGGGTGGTGATTATTTTTTATTTGTTGACCAGCCAACCGCAGACCCACTTCAACGAGGCATTTAAAGACCTGTTTTACTGTATACAGTAGTTTCCTGCCAGTTATGGAGCATTTACATGACCCTTTTTATGGTTTACAAGCTGCGATTTCTTTTTTTGTTTGAATCGAGCAATACATGTCTGCTGAATAAACCGCTGTCATGCAAAACAACTCGTATTAAATGTCACGAGAACGGGTGTGTACTTCATAAACTGAGACCTGAGCAGTAACACATGCTGGCACTTGTGCTGCTTTCTGTGTTTCCCATCAACCCCGGGTTCAGCTTCAGGAGAGACAAGCTGCTGAGTGATCTAATTGTTATTTTCACTGTTTTGATTGAGGCTTTTAGAGGGAGCATGCATAAAGGAACCAAACTCATAAATACCATGTGCTCGAGCAGCTGATTAAACACATTATGCATTTAGAAATCAGTGCTGTTTACTAACCGTGCTATTATCTCCCCGACAGGTGGAGATGTTCCTGCTGGGCTACGCCTTGCAGTGCACCATCCAAGTTTACAGACTGTACAAGGTCGACACGGAGGAGTTTGTCACCTACTACCCAGACGACCATAAGGACGACTGGCCGTTTGTGTGCCTCGTCACCGAGGACGACCGCCACTACAACGTGCCAGTTGTAGAAGCTGCGGAAGAACTACACGAGCCGCTCAACTCGAGCTGATCGCCACTGCAGAGAAATCTCCTGCCATATAAACAAAGCACTCCTCAGGTCAATCCAGATTATTACATTTACGCCAATTAAAGAAATAGTTTGACATATTGGGACATGTGCTTTTTGGCTGAGAGTTAGACAGATCAATACCACTCCTGTCATGTCTGTTGAGTATGAAGCGACAGCAAGCAGCAGATTAGTTTAGCATAAAGACTGCAAACAGTTGGAAACAGCTATCCTGGTTCTGTCTTTGTGCTAAGCTAACTAGCTGCCTGTTGTTGTTTCATATTAGACATGCAGACTTAAGAGTGGTATCAATCTGTATATTTAACTCGCAGCAGAAAAGCATGTTTTTTCCCCCAAAATGTCGCTTTATTCCTTTAAAACAAAAATATGCTGATTTGAGACCCTGTGCAAGATGTGCTTTACACATGTCTGTACACACTGTACTGTATACAGAGTTTTCTATTTGAGTATGTGTACATATCTGTGCATCTGATTTTACAAGATCATCTCAGTGAGATCCAAATTAGTTTGGAGGGTGTCATTTTGAGGTGGGGGGTAAAAAAAAAGCCCATGTTTTTTTTTCTCTGTTAATTGTGATCAAAACACAACAGAGCTGCCAACAGCGCCAAAAGATTAAATGGATGGGGTTTACACTGGAATTTGGGCACTTTAAGTTGCATATTAATTTATTATTTTTCCATTTTCTACTAAGTGAAATGAGTGAATTAGTATAAGAGCGTTTGATGACTTATCAGGTTTAACAACAGCTCACACCCGACTGGTGGATTTATATGAATATTTATCACGACCTCTGCGTCAGAGGCGTGATTTGTGATGGTCTGTGTGTGTGTGTTTGCAACTATGCGTGTGTGTCGAACTAAATGTGTAACATGTTGCCTTTTAACCAAGCTGTTCTGAAGGGAAAAACTTGCCAAAGTTGCTGCAAATACTGGCAACAGTCCCACCCACCAGCCACTGGATTCAGTTTGAAGCTCGCTTGGTCCGCCATGTTGCCTTAGGAATAATGCACAATAAGAATGAATGTTGGTTATTACTGATAAGAGGCCATTTTCTCGCCCTTATTCCAGAGCAGGTGAAGGTGATCTGTTAGCAGTAAATATTGATTATGCCATTTTGCAGGAATGTTTTCTCTGTTTATGGATGGCATTTAGATTCAACTAAAGTACAATTTTTGTAAAAGTCTTTTTTTCTCCTTATGATTTAATCAGCTTGTTGAAGCCTTGCCTAATTTTGTGAGAAATTTGAACAGAAGTCTAAGAAGTACCATACAGAAAATGACATTTAAGTTTGTTTGGGGTCTCAGACTCTTTCTGTATATCATGGTTGAATACAATGAAGTTTCCTATGCTCTAAAACTGATATGTGTGGACTGTGCTTTACTTTATTCAGCAGCAATACCCCTCCCAAAACGCTATATAGGTGTTACAGGTAATGGCATCCGTTTGTTCATTACTTTTTAGGGATACATAGCCCATATAACATTTCGTATAATAACATGATTTATGGTCATTTCCGTATTTTGTCAACTGTCAAAGGAAAGGCTTACCACTTAAACTTTTATACAAATGTGAAAATAGATACACTTTGCAATTACTAACTTTTACACATCCAGCAGTGGTGTCTGAAGTACCACACAAAACAAAAGGATTTAAAGCAGATGTCAACAAAGCAAAGGTTAATAATAAAGCAATTTATTTGCCAAATAAGAATGCCTATACAGTATATACAGTACGTACGACAGCCTGAAAACTACCAGGGAAAATGCTTGGCAGAACAAAAGTAGATGGACTCCCAGACTGCATGGAAAGTGAACAATCATAACTGTTTTCTGTAACACACGCAATGATATAAGGAGGGATTCCTGACCCCTCTGGGCATTTAAATATACACATTGCATTACCTATATAAAACAACAATAATCTGTACACCGGTGTATGTAAAATACGATTGCACAACCCAACAAGTCCCACAATATGTCTATTTGATTTCAAGCAACGCTCTTGTCGCTTAATCTTGATAAAATAAAATAATGAACTCAGTATTTTGGCAACTCCACTACCACTCATCAGACGTTTCATTCTTGTTGCTGAGGAGGAACAGTTCTCCTGTGTCGTTTTCCCTTGTTTACCAGTAAACACAAGTGGTGAATACACCGCCTGATGTGATGATGCAAAACTATGAGAACGGAGGAAAAAAGGGGGGAAGACGTAACGGTATTTACACTGATGAATGATCACTTTGAGGTGCATGGCTTTCTTTACAGTGTGCATTTAATGGTGTGCAGGTCGACGCGAAGAAGACCTTGTCACCCTTCTTCAAAGTCTGTCGGAAGAACCTCTGAAACCAAACCATACAGTAACACTGGAAAGTCTCCTCTTCAGCAAAGTTCCACATGGAGGTCTGCTTTACTTTCCCCTGCAGTCGCAGTTCACTCCTGTTCCTCCTCCTCTTCCTCCTGGAGCTCCTCAATGGCGTCCATCTGAGTCCTGGAGCACACCTCGCTCATAGGGGCGGAGTCCTCGCCCTCCACCACCAGATCATTGGACATCTCACTGTTTTTCTGCAGAGACGGTGGAAATAAAAACCACAGAATCCTTCAAAGTCGCTGAGAAAAGGAGAACTGGTGAGTCTGGCTCACTCTAAACACTATTATGATAGGTGAAAGACACGCGTGGTTAAAAATGGTTGCTGATTGGATTTGCAAAAGCACGGAAAAAGGTGTGTACTCTCACACTTGAAATGACCTAAACCCAGATGTTCTCACCTGTTGTCGATAAACATAGCACGCTGCTATGGCAACCATTGTCGACTCTCCTATGAAGCCGGCCAGGAGGGATCCAACCCCGAGTGTGGCCCCATGGACCCTGAAACACAAAGGATTATAATGAAGGATTATATTAGAAGTGTGGAAGTGAATCATCCGCTCCGATCTATCTTTCCAGGAATTAAAATACTTTGACCAGAATAGCTCACATTATGAGGAAGCCTGAGTCACGGTGCTGACCTTTGTGACACTGTTCTCTGAAGTGTTGACTTACCCCATATAAGGCAGCACAACCAGACTGGTGATGAGGACAATGATGCGGAGAACTGAGCTGGGGGCCAGCACAAAGGTCTTTTTCAGGGTCATGAGCCATCCAGTCAAATGAGCCCGAACCGTCACTGCAAACACAAAAAGTGGAAAAATCACCCCACTGGTCCAAGCTACTCCCGGGATAAAGCCTCAGCAGCAGGAAATGCAGCTGGACACTGATGCTAAAAAACGAATAGAGTGTCTTACCTGGCACGGGAAAAAAGGAGAAAATTCGGAGCGGGACCACACACAGATCAGCAAAAGATTTATCCACTCCAATGACATCAATCAGGATCTTCTCTGATAAACCAGGAGTCCAAAACACCACAAAGCAAAGCTGGACACAAAATGAACAAAAGCAAAATTCATTTTTTGTGTTCACTGCTCAATAATAGAATCACCCGGCATGCCTCATTAGATTTCATCGGTTCATTAACTCAATCAGATTGAATGTGGGCCTTTGAAGCCCACATAAAACAAGAGAGAGAGCAAACACATGACAGACAATGCTATTGTTTCCAGAAGCAGGAGCGGAGGCACATACAAAATAACCAAAGCATCTCAGAGCTTTTAGTGTATTATGAACATTTTAGGGAGTGTAAAACAGAAATATAACCTTGTCTGATCTCGTCAATTTGTTTAAAATAGCTTCAAGATATTTTCTCAGCACTCCAAATTAAGATTAAGGTGTTTTCCCGGAATGTTTGTGTCATTCAAGGCCAACACAAATCTCACATCCGTGCAGAAAACCAAAAATACTGATAAACTTTCCAGAATTCCTCATTCAATGTCAGCCTGCTGTCAATAAAGCTGATAGCCAGTCACATATTATACACACTAGCCCACTGAAACCTAGATGCGTCCAAAAATCTGCTTCTCCATCTGCGCTTTCAATCAATCATGCTGCTCGGGCATCAATGCAAGGAGGTGAGACAGGCTTTCTCATTTTTAACAAATCTACATATTCCACTGTTAAAAGTGTTCCTTATTTGAATAACATGCAATCAGCTATCATCAAAACTCTTTTATTGTTATTTTGTCTCCAACAGGACAACAATTGTGTTGAGGAGTCTGGCATTGGCCATTGTTTTTCTCCCATCACTGAACCCTGAGCTCCAGGTACATTCCACACAGTGTTTAAGCAGGCCCCTTAATTGAACAAGACAATCCCGAACTGACCTCAAGTTAAAATCTTCAGGCAGGTCTCGCTACTGCCTCACATACACAGTTTTAAAGCAAGTCTCAGGTTTAGATTTCCTCCCTCAAAACAATCTACTTGAATTAAACCAATATGATTTCCACTTCTTCTTCACTGCTGTTAGTGATTAAACGCTGAGGCCTCATTTTGCTGGAACTGCCGTTGGCCTTTGACACAGAACCACAAAATCATCCTGTCCACCCAATCTCGAGTACAGCACTGCTCTGGTTAATGTCCTTTCTCACAGAGCTTAGTTTTCAGAGGGATTGCTTAAAGTAGTTTGGCAAGGAACGAGTCAGAACATCAGTTTCTTTACACTGGGGTACCGCAGGGATCTGTGCTTGGTCCCCTTGTTTTTTAATATACACCTTGAAAACCAAATCTCATTCCAACTCAAGGATTTCTCAAAAAGAAAGACGATTGAATGTTGCTTTCAACATAGTGGTTCAAAATTGTATTATCCAGTCCGATTTATTGTACTCGATTTAGACAAACGCTTCTGCTTATATAACCTTATGCTGCTGGCACTAAGTGATACTTAATGGACACATTAATTAAGTGAAAGAAGAAAGAAGACATCTCCCAAAATCAGGAAATAATTAATTGAGCAAAAGCCTTTAGAGGTGGTGTTGTGGTTTTTGATCCCTTGAACCAATATAAATGAACTTGTAACTGATGATTTCATTTGGTATCACCTTACCATCTATCATTATTTTAGCAAGATGGAGCCACATAACTAATTTGTTTGGCTCTAGTGAAACCACCGTCTCCCCTGACTCAGCTGCGGTTTCTATAAACAAGGTGAGACATCCACACTCACTGCTTCGACAGCCTAGACAGTCTGTTTTCATATGATGATGGTTTTGTTATAGAACATTAGTCAGTTGCTTTCTTAAATACACTGCGCCTGCCTCCTCTGCTGTTGTGTTTTCTCTTTTCCATGTATGATCAGAACAAGTTCTGGCTTGACGGCTGTCTGCTTGTGTTTTCAACAAACGATACGATGATATCTATCTGCCTGTTCTGCTGTGTCAAGCAAACACACCCTCACATGCATGTTTACAGCACTGGGATTCCACATCTGGCGAGCCACACTCCTCCTCCTCCCCCTCCTTAAAGACCCAACCTTGGCCACAAACTTCCTGTTTTTCTTATTCGGGTTGCTACGAAAACTGGGACAAAGTGTCCTTTTTCTTAACAAAAAATATTATTTTTGTATTATCATTGACTAGAAAACACCTAGATAATACAGTGTTTTTGTCAATCTGCTAGCATAATTATCTAAACTTTTTGCAAAAAAAAAGCAACAGCGTGTGACTGCAGCAATCATTCTTTAACCGAAAAAGTTCACCTGCGAGGGGCTTTTGAAATGTGTTAACTCATGTTTTAAGTGAATGTCTTTATTAGCTTGGGTGGGAACAAAAGCCCCCTTAGGCTCTTCATAAATTCCATCTTAATGTGTCTCCCTCTCTCAGCAACCTGAAACCACGACAGGATGGCAAAAGAAAAGTACATTTAGTACGCCTGCAGCTGAGCTAGGGACCCCCATCACTTTGAAAATTAGTGTACAGCTGACGCAGGACGATTACCTTGAAGCTTTTTTCTAAGAACTCCTAAATGTGTCTTAGTGTCTGAAATAGGTCAAGTTCAGTATCTCGTAAAAAAACGTTGACAGCACAGCCTTTGGGAATGTTTTCAAAAATGTGTCAAACATGTTTGTGCATAACACTGGACTGGTTCTGCCAGTCTTTGCTCTGAACCCTGACCTACAGTACACGCAAAGGTAATCATAGCAGAGGTGTTGTGTGTCAGGGAGAGCGTTCTGCCTGTGGGCGCTTGTTACTTTTTCATCAACACGTGCAGAAATAGATTTACAACCCCAAAATAACTATCGATAACAAATCTGCTGTCGAAAAATATGCAGTTTGGGCGGAATGAAAGGCATCTTAAATACATCTTTGAAATTAAAACGACTCGCTTTGAATATGACTTAAGGCACTCTGTGGTACAGCTGACACCTACTGTAGAACAAGTCTCATTGAAGGACACTTAAGAGTGTAAACAAATACACAGCAAGTGCAGGAGTGA